ATTTATGTTTTGACTGTATATATATTATGACGATTTACGTTTCCGCTGATGATGGCTTTTGACGGACTTATGTTTGTGACCGAACTTTTGGAAAACATTATGCTTTCAGTAACAGTATGATTTTATTAAAAATTAAGATAACGGTTTTCCAAAATAAGTCACGTTTTATGGTAGCACCCCGAATCAGTTTTCGCAAAGTGTAAGATTTTATTTTTAAATAACTTTGCGAAATTTTCGCACTCTGATTTTACGATAAGGCGGGGTGTTACAAATGGTATCATCGGTCAGCCGCCGAATATTGCTCGTTGTTCGAACAGCTTCGCCCAACGGCTTGTTCTCGGTTCTCGCCGTTGGTTCCTCAGTCGCGGCGTGCGTGCGCTTGGTCTCCGTACGCACGTCGCTCGGCCTGGCCTTGCGTACTGCCATCAGATGATCCTCATGTAGTCTCGCCGACTCTATGGCTGCTCGCATCGATCCTGGCCTATCCATCCTTACTTCTACTGCTAACTCACCCTTAAGTCCTCCAACAAACGTCCCCACTAGCGCACTCTCGGGCCAATCCCGCACCCTACTAGCAATGCGCTCGAACTCCTTTTGGTACTCTCTCAGGCTACCAACTTGCTTAATTCTAGACAAGGCTTCATTGTAATCGTGGTAGTCACTCGAGCCAAACCTCGTGATGAGCTCCCTTTTAAAATCCCTCCAACGCATGTGCTCACCATGGTTCTTGTGCAAAACCCATTGCCACCATGCGTTTGCTACTCCATCCAGATGATAAGCAGCAATTTGAACTCTTTCGTACCTTGGCACGTCATTGATTTCAAAGAATTGAACAGCTCGACTCAACCATGAGTCTGGATCTGTCCCCGTGAACATGGGAATAATAATTTTTGGTCGTGTACTTGCCCTTTCGTCCAATTGTTCATCGCGATCGTGGCGTCAGAGACGTCCCTCATGCCGTCGTTCGTCGTGCCGTCGGCCGTCGCGGTGTGGCCTCCGCTCATCGTGTGTCACATGCGACTCGTACATTGCGTGCGATCGCCAGTCATCATCTTCCTCGCGCCTTCGGTCATGATGTGCGCGTCCGTCCTATCGTCGCCGATCGTCGTAGTGGTGGTCCGCGCGCGATGCGCGTGTGCCCCTCGATCGGACGATCGTCCTCGTGCTCGGTCCCGGTGCTTGTTGGAGTGGACCGCGACCCGTGACGCCTCCTTGGCCGTGTGTTCATGCGCGTAAGCTGCCCGGCCAAGTCCTGGACCATAAGCTCGATCCTTCCCAAGTTCTCGTTGGTAGCATGTTGACCATCGCCAATGATCTTCATGTTGTCTTCCAACGCTTTAATTCTCTCACGGTTTGACATCATAAATCTCTTTTTTTTTTACTCTAAAAATTAAAAAAAAATTCGAACCCAAAAATAAAAAAAAATAAAACAAGAGAAATTCGGCCCCTCAACAGAAGGTAATAACCGAACAAAAAATCAAACAAAGGACTCGATGACACCTTTTTTTTTAAGACTCATGAAAATAAATTGAAAAATTCGAACTAGAATTTCGAAAGTTTCGACCAAAAAAAAAAGAAAATAAATTCGGCCCCTCAACAAAAGGTAATAACCGAAATAAAAATCAAACAAAGGACTAGATGACACTTTTTTTTCTTTTTTTTTAAGACTCAAATTCGAAAAAAATTAAAAAATTCAAATAAATAAATTCGAAAATTTCGAACCAAAATAAAAGAAATTCGGTCCCTCAACAAAAAGGCAAACCAAAAAAAAAAAGAAAAAGATAGGATAGATAAAAACACGATCAGCACCTCTCAAATGATGACAGACCGTGTCTTTATTCTATACGACGGGTTGTGAATAAACGCGCACTCAGGCCTTCGTTTATCCACGATAGGTGTATCTAACAGACGCACTATCGGCCTTCTCCTAGACACTGTGACTTCAAGACGCTCTAATGGCCTTCTCTCCGACACTGTATGTAAACACGCACTAACGGCCTTGTTTAAACACATGTAAGAACATAAGTTCCCCTCTTAATTGGCTCACCAATTCAATACTCAATTAAAGACATTCAAGACATAAAATAATGATGAGGTACATGGGGTATTTATAGGTGCAAAACTAAATCTAGGCCTAATCAAACTAGATCTCCTAATCTATGCAATAATATAAATCTTAATACTAGAAAGCAATAAAATCCTATTACTACCAAAATACTAATGCTTGGCTTGCACACCAAGCAATTCTAGAACTTCCAAACTCTCGCACTGTAACACCCCGCTTATCAGAGTATTTTTTTTTTTTTTTTTTTTT